CATGTGGTATAAGTGGAGTTGGGAGAAATTCAGGCAGCTTGTGAACCAATCTGCTGTGTGCAAACACAATTGTTCAGACAGGCTGGAGAGCAAGCTGTGGGTCTGTGTGTTCATGGTCAAGAGCAGTGTGTAGCATGCTGCGCAGAGGGAACAGGAATGCACTTTGATCTATCATCACTTAAGTGATTGTTCATTAAGACATTCCCCACTGTTTCTTTGGGGGAGCAATCTCCCTACTGAGTATTTTATGGATCCTAACATTGCAGGTGATTCTGGTATGTTTTCATGTGGCTAATCAAGTATTCTGTATCTTCTTTCTGTCTCAGTGCATTGGACAGATCATGAAACAATGCTAAACATACATGATCGAAGGCTTTCTGTGTCACACATTTAACCTTGGTTGCATTGCTTTTGTCATATGTAAATATAATCGTTATAGTGGAACATAAGCACTGTTTAAATATATTTTCATCAATGAAAAACTTTTCTTGGGTCATTTTAAGCACTTCCCTCTTGTTTATTTGATCACACTTTCATTGTTTATTGAATTTGGGGGAACTTCATATAATATATTTTGTTCATTTTTAGACCTCTCCCTCCCCTATCTGCAACCCTCTTATAGCCCCATCCCCCAACCAGATTTCATGTACTCAGTCATATATATCAAGGCCTATCAAAACAAGTTCGTGTCGCTAAATGTTCTTCCATGTGAGTTCATCCCCTGCAGCCTGGTTAACCTAGCTAGTGTCACACTTAAAGAAAACCAACTCTCCACCTCCCAGTAGTTATTGGTTGTCAACAGTTCCTCAGCTTTTTACCCTCTTCTCCACTTCTAGGCTGGGATTTTATTTGACTGACTGACTTGAGGTTGCCTGGGTTTTGTGTATGCTCTTACCATTGCTTGAGTTCATATGAATAACTATCCAACTCTCTGGAAAACTGTTTCCTTGTGGTCATCCACCACCTCTGGTTCTTACAGTCTTTCCAACTCCTCTTCCTCAATGATCCCTAAGTCTTGAGTGACAGAGGTTTGAAATAAGTTTCCTATTAAGAGATAAGCAGGCTGTGGCCTCTTATTCTCTGCCCTTTGGTCAATTGTGGCTGACTTTCTGGGTAAATCACCATCTGTTGAATAAGGAAGTTTCACTGGTTACACGTGAGAGGTGCATTAATATTGTTTCTGCCCCATGTTCCACTGTTTTCTGAGTGTTGGCTGTAGAGGTTGCATTGTAGATGTTTCACTTAGGGTTAGCCACCTCACAGACACTTATTCTTTGTATTTGACCAGTTGTAGAACTTTGTAATATTCTCCAGCTGTTTCACAAAGAAGCTTCTTTGATAAGTGGTGAGAGGTACGCTTGCTGTAAATATAAGGATACAAAATTTCTATGACTACTTCCACCATGTGTATTTGGCTATGTTAAGAGTACCACACATGAGTTCCCTCCCATTGAGCAGACCTTAAGTCCAATTAAACAGTTGTTCATTGCCCCCAGCATAAATGTGCCACTGCTGCACCAGTAGAGATTATTTGCTGGTCCTTGTTCATAGACTTTACAGCTGGATGGGATCATTGGTTGATTTTTTCCTGTCACAGATTGCATTGTATCTTTTGGTACTATGGGAGCCAGTCTTCAAAGAGGATCTTCCAGATCAGGTCTAGTTTAATTGATCCAACTCCTGTGTTTGAAGCATGTCCTGTCTTCAGCAGTAGGGACTTAACTTCAAGTTCTGGGAGGCAATCAAGGGTGTGGCAATGGCCTGTGTTATTTGATGAGTCTCTTAGACTACCCTGACCAACAACCCAAAGGGAGGCATCCCATTCCTGGGACTGTGTTTCTTGTTATATAACCTTCAGGTATACACATACGCTCAAGTTCAGATAATGTATGTATATTTTTCAGTAGGTTTTTGAGCTAATATATTTCCCTCTGGATTTTCACACCACCTAAGTTTTATTTATCTCTCCTCTCTCTTCCTGTCTAACCACCTTCCTCCCTTCCCAGTAAAAGTACTCACATTTTCCCTTTGATGATACCTGTCTCTTATTATCTCCCCTCACTTGAGTTCCTTCTTCCCCTTTACCCCCATGGTTCCTCGTATGTCCTTTCCTCTTACCTTCCCAGTTGAATATTCCCATCTTCTCCGTTTCCTCCTTGGTAACATTTGTTTCTTACTATCCTTCTCTCTCTTGACCTCTTTGTTTCCTTTTACTCTGTGATTCCTTTCCATTTTTCTAGCTCCTGCAGTTACATCAGGCTAAATACTCACTATAAGGATTTAGTGCTAAGATCCACAAGTGAGAGAGAATATACATCACTTAGTATAACAGTTTCTAGTTTCATCCATTTACCTGCAAAATTCATGATTTCATTTTTCTTTACTGCTGAGTAAAACTCTATTGTGTAAATGTACCACATTTTCATTATCCATTCATAGGTTGAGGGACATTTAGGTTATTTCCATTTCCTAGCTATTGTGAAAAGAGCAGAAACAAACATGGCTATACAATTATCTCTGTAGTAGGATACTGAGTCCTCTGGGTATAAGCCAGAGAGTGGTATAATTGGATCCTATGGTAGATTTGTTTTCAGTTTTTAAGAGTTCTCTACACTGATTTCCACAGTGGTTGCACCAGTTTGCAAAAGCACCAGCAGTAAATGAGTGTTCCCCTTTCCCCACATACTCGCCAGTATTGGGTGTCATTTGTTCTCTTGATCTTAGCCATTCTGACTGAGGTAAGATAAAATCTTAAGGAAATTTTGATTTGCATTTCCCTAATTATAAAGGATATTGAACACTTTTTAAGATACTCCTTAGCCATTTTTGTTTCTTCTTTTGAGAACTCTGTTCAGATCATCTTTCCTTCATTTTCAGTTTTTTCACTCCACAGTTTTTCTTTTAAAAGCATCTCTTGCCTATTTGGAATGAATGTGTTTGGTTTATACTATCTAAATAGTGAACTCCAAGTCACTCAGGGATACATTGCAGGACCCTATCTCAAAACAAAGTAAAAACAACAAAAACGGTGTCTCCTGAACCCATTTCAACTAGGTTGAGGATATTCGTGTACTGTACTTTCCCTTGTCCCTTCCTATCGGTTTTTCTAATTGCACAAATAGTGGTTCAAATATTCATAATCGTTTGACATTTGCCATTTATACTGTTATATTTACAAGAATTATTCATAGCAATCCTTTTTTCTTTTTAACCGTATTTTCTTTCATTTTTATTTAATTTTAAATATTTCTTATAATTGGTTGATGGAATGTACGTTAGTTTGATTTACAATTTCTCAACCTTAAACTAGATTTTCTGACTAATCATCCAGCAACCCAGTACCTATGTTGAGTTGTTTTAATTGCATTTTGTGTGTTTCCTAAGTCCTTGAATTCTGAGCAAGATTTTCTTTTGTGTTGTAACACAAAGCACTAAGGCCTGGAAAAAAAAGAAAAAGATATTTTTTCATACACACACACACACACACACACACACACACAAATGTGTTTTCTCTAAAATTCTGTACATGATATTTTACTATCTTTTGGATTTTTATTAAAAATTAAGTTGAAATACTTCCTGAAAGTGCTTAACTTAGTCTTTCATTCCTAGATGCATATAAAACTTTTCATTTTCCTGATTGCTCTAATGCAATATTCAACTTCACATCTGCATTTTCAGTTTCCTGTGCTTCACAGCTCACAGAGCTGCACTTTGATTTTAATCTGACTATTTAATTCACTTTCATTTGCAACTGTCTGAACCCAAAAGTTTGAGTTTATAGCTGTAAATTTAGATTTTTTTTCAAATGAGAAAAAATACATGAGAGGCATATGTAAGAAAGAACTAGAATAAATATATTTGCTTAGTTCTATTAAAAATAGAACAAATGGATGTGAAATGAAGACCTCATACAGTAAACCATAAATTGGGGTAGGTAAAGAATTGGAGGTAGGGGGTCAGCTAGATGGTTCAGTGGGCAAAGAAGCATTTCACAGAGCCTGAGTTCCATCCTTGGAATCCACATGGTGGAAAGAGAGAACCAATTCCCCCAAGTTGCCCTCTGACTTCCACTCTGGTGCTGGAACATCCACACCACACACACAAATGTGTAGTGTTTGTGTGTGCATGTGTGTGTGTGTGTGTGTGTGTAAAGTGGTGAGAACAGAGTATTGCTACACAGAGCAACAAGAATAACTTTGAAGACATGATATGACACCAAGTACAATCGAGCACACACCTTATCATTACATACAGAAACTGAAACATGGGCTAATCTGAAGTGATAAAAGTCAGAAGAGGTTACTTATAAAGGATAATCATCGAGGGGAAATACAAAGGATGCTCTTAACCTATTGGAATTGTTCCATTTCTTAATGTTGAGAGTTGTTATACTGAGATATTTATTGTGCTAGAAAATGAAAATCAACCTTTATACTTAGGGTCTCTGAAGTCTTCTGCAT